TTGGGTGGTGTATTCGGCAACGTGTCATTGATGTGGTACTGGTGCCTTAGCGGTGGATTCACACTGCACATCATTCCGCTTTGTTAGTTCCGCGATCCTTCCCGAAAGATACTTCATTCTAGCCATCTGGAGGAGCACTCCTGCGCTAGCAACAAAAGCAGAACATTTGCGGCATGAAAAGTTAAAGGATTTCAGCAGGAAGCTACAGCATGATGCACTGACCAGAAACAGTGATATGGCCGCCTCAAAACTGTTGCAATAAAAAAAAAAATATTGAAAGTTAAACACCTGCAGATTTTTATTTTTTAATGATGATGATAATGCGCTTCAGACGAAATAGCTACTTCCAGGGAATATTTTAAATTTGAATGATGATGTAGCTAATTCACCATTTCCAACATGCTTGCTCAGTTCATAATACCTAGGATTTAATTCTCACCTCTCCCGCGTAATTTTATGGGATCTCAACCTCACTATTCCAGGAAGTTTCATTTATATTTTAAAAATTCTTTAGGGAAATGGATTAAGGATTTTTATTTGGAGTAATGTTTCTTTTTGTTTATTGAGACATTCTAGAAATACACTTTGAGGAGGTCAGGTAAACCACAGTGTCTAAACTTGACTGGTTCTGTTCTGGGGAGGAATCTGGCCAAAGTAGGTTATAAAAGTATTTGATTTGCTTATTGTCCACACTGCCAGTGGTATGGAAAACCTCCATGTCATGAGTGCAGTCCAGAAAGTGAGCAATTTTGTGGCAGTTACCAGAAACACTGAGGCAATTGCAACTACTTTGGATTTGGCAGTCACAGTTGCCAAATCCAAATCATCCCTGAGTTAACCAGTATAAATGGAAAACCCAAGTACAGCCGCCTCCCTCACTTGGTCATTTCTGCTTCTGGCTCAAAGGACTGGGCCTGAAACAAACTGTCTATTAAAAATTAAAATTTTTATATTATAATTGAATTCTCATGTTTTCACAGGACTTTGGTATGGACACTGAGAGCCTTTTGCTGACATGAGAAACAAGCAAGGATCTCAGTTGGTTATTTGGGTCAAAAGCTGTATAACTGGGAGGGCAGATGTTAGAAAAATCATAAAATAATAATGGCTTGTCTGTGCTTTTCATTTTTCTTTTTCTTTTTTGCAATGCTGTGGTTTATTTCAAAGTCAGAAATGTAGCACCACCAGACTCCTATAGCAGAGAAGAATAAAATACCCTGCTTAACTGTGTCTTCCACCTTTGCATGAGGAATTCCCACATTCTCTTCATTTCCAAATTCATTGTGAGCAGAAGTTGGAAAATCTTTCTCACAGGGATGTATCACGCTATGGGCCCTTCTTATTGAGCCTTCAGCATTATTTGAGCTTGTGATGTCATTGGGATGGTTTCAATGCCATTTTCACCTGCAAAAGCTATGGGGTGCTTGGGGTAGCATATTGTTTTGGTTGCAATAATTTTAGCCATTTCGTGCTAAAATCCTGTGACTTTTCATACCACAACTGTTCTGGGGTTTGGGGGATATTTTTGTCCCGCTTTTGTTGCGCTACAGAACAAGGGTACACCAGTCACCACTAAGTGCAACTAAGCCTGTAATTAAGCACATATAATTAATGCAGACTCATGCAACTTTCCTATTTACCCCTGTCTCCACATCCCTCACTGTCCTCTCTTAGTTTCCCATTTTAAATTTTGATTCAGAAGCATTTCAGGGCAGGGGGCCTATCCCCTCATGCTCTGCAAAGTGCTATGCACATGGATGGTGCTAAACAAGCATACTGATTATTGCTGTCAGCCCTAATAAACATTCTCTTTTGGTCTCATTTCAATAGTTTCTAACCCTGTGGAGGACCTTTCTATATTTTATGAGCCCATCTATATTTTATGCTTTGGTCCTTTGGATCCATCCCTTCCTGTATTATGAATCAATTTATGAGCCGCTTTTATATTCCGTAACATTTATGAACAGTTGTTGATAGCTTTCCACTTGTTGACAAATGGTTAGGACTTATATTATAAAAAAGGATTAACAACAGAATTCCTCCTTTGTGCAATCCCACATAATTGCACATACCCCCTCCCCGCCCTGACACCAGCGGGAGTTATGTATGCATCATTATAGCCAAGATTGCTCCCTAAATTCTTCCTTGCTCACTGTTAGACAACTGACACCTGCATGTGCATACTTGAGATCTTTTTCGTAGCAAATCAGAAATCTAATGTTCAGCAGAACAATATCCAGCTGGAATAATTAGCTAGCATCCCATGAACTCACAATGGCTTCTGAGCTGTGTGCCTGTGTTGCAGTCCCATATGGATGCAGGGTGCATACATGTATCTGAGTACATAGGCGGTGGCAGTCATTTGGGTATTTCTCACTCAATGCAGTGGTACCTCGGGTTACAGACGCTTCAGGTTACAGACTCTGCTAACTCAGAAATAGTACCTCGGGTTAAGAACTTTGCCTCAGGATGAGAACAGAAATCGTACGGCGGTGGTGCGGCGGCAGCGGGAGGCCCCATTAGCAAACATGGTACCTCAGGTTAAGAACAGTTTCAGGTTAAGAACGGACCTCCAGAATGAATCAAGTTCTTAACCTGAGGTACCACTGTAGTTGTCTGACTGAGAGGACAGTGAAACCAATAGGCTGGCAAAGTCTTTGCCTAAGTAGCGCAATAGTCACATGCATTTGAGTCGTCCTCAGGCATTTATTTATTTTTTTGCATGTAAATGAAACATGTGAGTGATTATGAATGGGCTAAGGTCCTCATGCCACCAGTTTGAGGCCAAATGTCCAAAGTAGGGAGTCCATGAATGATGACCCTCTTCTGTGCAGTGGGACGAAGGTTACCAGATTTTTTTCAATGAATCCGGGGACACTTTTCAACTACTAAATAGAGGGATTTTGTCAGGGGACTGATTTGTAAATCCAGGCACTGTCCCTGGGAAACGGGGACGTCTGGTAACTTTACGTGGGACAGCACTGCCCCATGTGGTTTACTGTTGTGCTACAGGCCATCTGGGCCACCCTTATGCAAACTACTTTTAGCATCTACCATGTTTGAACCTTTAATTGAAGCTGACTAAAAACTCAGATACTGTATTAAGGCCTCTTTAGGTATAAATGGTAACTCATCTATATGCATCTGGTTCATATTGGGGGGGTGTGAGAGAGAGACTAGGCTACAAATAGGATATCTCCAGATGAGAAATCTGAGCTTCAGAGAAGTTTGCACTCAATAATGTGAGGCAGCAGTTCCCTCTCCAGCTTCTGAGGCCTGCATTCTTGTTTCCCATGGAACCATTTACAGTACATTTTCTTCAGCATAAAAGGTTTAATTGGCTCAAAAGTCCTAAATGGAACCATTAATTGTTGTTGTGGATAGTTGTCATGGTTACAGATAACGACAGCGCGCAATTAAATCCAACTGACTTCATAATACATTCTGGCTGCCAGACAGAAGTTCTAACTATTCAGTTTGGCTCGGAGTTAAAATTTGGTTCTCCAGCCCTCTTATAGTGGCCCCTGTGCCAATGATTCTACACTCTTGATATTTTATACTATTCATTTTATGGTTGTATACTTCTCACAGACACACCATAATTAAAATTCCCAGATTTAAAGGATTCTAAATCGACTCCATTCCAAGGAACTATAAATAGACAGTTTTGTGGGAACAGAAATAACTCTAGATCAAGACCAATTTCCTTTCAGCAGCACAAACACAATCACAAAAACAAACTTTTCAAAAGGGCTATACTTTAGGAGAAGCAATATAACTACATTTTTTATTTCTAGCTCTTTAGTTCTCAATTGTATGAAAAATTCACATATTCAGTTTCCTCTAAAACTATACAGAGGTTTTTATGGTATATAATGGAATTCATTTTATATAAAGGCAAAAGGAATTGATCTAGCAATAAACCAGGGGCAGTTATTTATATTATTTTACATATTTATGATCTTTATGTATTAAAAACTGATTAGATCAGCCTTCCACGAGCTAGTCTGCTCCAGTTCTCATTAGCCCCAGTCAGTATGGTGAACAGTCAGTCATGAATGGGCATCTAAAATATTTGAAGGGTAGCAGATTGGGGAAGGTTAGGCTAGATGGACTTGCTAGATCTTATCCATCTTTTGCCTTTGTTTAATCAAGTTGGAAATTTTATTTCTGTGCAAATCTTGCTGAGATTCTTATTTTGTTTCCAGTTCTGAGGTTGATACTTATTATTGGGTTACACATGGGGAGCTGGAGCTGGTTGTGTGCCTGAGGTGACCTATAGGGTCTATTATTGCTGACTAAATAGCAATTTCAGTCCTGCTTCAAGTCCAGAAGTACCCCAGATTCATGAGAGCCTTTCACTTGGCATGCTGTGTCCAGCTCTGAGCCCCATGGTTTAAGAAGCATAAGTTGAGGGGTCTGGAGGAGAAATCCTGTGAGGAAAGGTTGAAGGAATTGGGTATGTTTAGCCCCTTCATGGATCACTGCCTTGCCGTGGCGAAGGGGCTTGAATAACTCATAGAAACTATGAGCTATGCCATGCAGGACCACCCAAGATGGACAGGTCATAGTGGAGAGTTTTGACCAAACATGATCTACCTGGAGCAGGAACCGGCAAGCCACTCCAGTATCCCTGCCAAGAAAACTCCATGGACAATCAAGACAGGAGTGCCTGGCGTGCTCTGGTCCATGGGGTCACTAAGAGTCAGACACAACTAAACAACATAGCCTGGGCAAAAGATGAATAAGGCAGTGATATGCAAACTATCTTCAAACATTTGGAAAGCTGTCCAAGAGTAGATGGAGAGAAAACTTGATTTCTGTGGATCCAGGGAGGAACAGCCAACCAAACAGGTTAAAATTGAAAGAAGAAGCATTTAGATTAAACATTAGGAAGAACCCTCTAATGTCATGAGGTTTTTTGACAGTGGAGCAGATTGCTTTGGTAACTGGTCATACTCTGTTTCATTAGGGGTAACTAAGCAGACCCTGGATGAAGGGCAGTAGCTCAGTATGAAAGCATCTGCCTTAGGTGCAGAAGGTTCAGAGTTCAATCCCTGGCATCTCCAAATAAGACTGGGAGAGACAGCTGTTTGAAATCATGAAAAGCTGCTGCCAGTCAGTGTAAACAACACTGAGTAATAATAATAATAATAAAAATAAAATTTATTACTTATACCCTACCCAGCTGGCTGGGCCTCCCCAGCCACTCTGGGCATCTTCCAACAGAATATTAAAAACACAATAAAACATCAAACATTAAAAACTTTCCTAAACAGGGCTGCCTTCAGATGTCTTCTAAAAGTCTGGTAGTTGTTGTTCTCTTTGACATCTGGTGGGATGGATTTCCACAGGGCGGGTGCCACTACCAAGAAGGCCCTCTGCCTGGTTCCCTGTAACTTGGCTTCTCGCAGCGAGGGAACTGCCAGAAGGCCCTTGGAGCTGGACCTCAGTGTCTGGGCAGAACGATGGGGGTAGAGACGCTCCTTCAGGTATACTGGGCCGAGGCTGTTTAGGGCTTTAAAGGTCAGCACCAACCCTTTGAATTGTGCTCAGAAACATACTGGGAGCCAATGAAGGCCTTTCAGGACTGGTGTTATGTGGTCTCAGCGGCCACTCCCAATCACCAGTCCAGCCACCACTAGTAGTAGTCTGACTCAGTATAGGACAGCTTCCTGGGTTCCTACGGTCAGTCGTCAGGTTCCTACGGTTAGTAGTAGATTTCCTGAATCAGCAGCTTCAACCTCTATGATTCTGTAACTGTTCAGAACTTCCCTTTCACCTCTACATAAGAGATAATGGTAAATTAAATTCTGTATTTGGGCAGATAATCACATGGCAAGAAGAAGCCAAGATGCAGCTCAGCAGCTGCAAGCATATGGATGCAACTTGCCCAGTTTAACAACTGCACATAGAACATTCCAGCACATAGAAACATGGCAATTCTTTTGTTCCCCCCAATCTGCTTGCCCTGTGGGAGTAGAAGGATGGTATGGGAAAGAATAGGAAGCATAGGAAACTACCTTGATAGCTGGAGGGATGACAAGAAAACTCGTATCTGTAGAAATATTTAGTCATAGTCCAAGCGCAGCCACCAGGGGGCAGTTTGAACCTGCAGGATTCCGGGGGGGGGGCGTGCAGAGGAGAAGAAAGAAGAAAAGGGTACTATGGATATGCTATGCTAGCAGCTGTAGTCTGCTGGGATGTCTGACCTGCTAGGATTCTTCACTGAAAACAAAACTAGGTCAGGAAATGGTAGAAAAATCACAACCATTTGGTATGTGAAATTGAGAAAAGCATTGACAAATACCAGCTAAGTAAGCTTTTAGATTGCAAAGCCTTGGCTTCTGTTCTGTACTGGAAGAGAATGGGCAGGCACTACAACAGTTAAGTAAGAGTGCCTCCTGATGCCCTTTTTACTGTATGTTCATGATGATTCCTGCTCATTGATGGCATCAGGGAAGCACATGTGAAATTGTTTTCAATATTTTTTGTGCCTGCCTGCCCAAGTTTCAGGGTAGATATACTGCTTCATTTCCACTTGGTGCATATCTTGTAGCTTCCTGCTGTAATCCTATAACTTTTTATAACTTTTAATGTTCCATTTTATTTTTTTGTCCTGCATCTGCTGCGCTAGTGTGCCCCTCTGGACACCAATAATGCAACCACATTGGGGGAGCATCACAAAACACCTAATGAAGCAGAATAACGTGTGGATAGGTAAAGGTAAAGGAGCCCCTGACCATTAGGTCCAGTCGTGGCCAACTCTGGGGTTGTGGCGCTCATCTTGCTTTATTGGCCGAGGGAGCCAGCGTACAGCTTCCAGGTCATGTGGCCAGCATGACTAAGCCACTTCTGGCGAACTAGAGCAGCACACAGAAAGGCCGTTTACCTTCCTGCCGGAGCAGTATCTATTGATCTCCTTGCACTTTGAGGTGCTTTCAAACTGCTAGGTTGGCAAGAGCTGGGACAGAAGAATGGGAGCTCACCCTGTCACGGGGATTCGAACCACTGACCTTCTGATCAGCAAGTCCTAGGCTCTGTGGTTTAACCCACAGTGCCACCCGCATCCCCTAACATGTGGATAGTCCAGTCTAAATCAATCGCTGATGCACTGTTACTGCATCAAAAGACATATTGCGGAATACACCCACAAAACAATCCATCAGTCTGAATACCAACAAGGCAGCAGCCTAGGACATCTTTCTGCCCACTCATTCCATGGACTTGAAAGCAGAATCCCTGCTGGTGATTTTGTACATGCCGGCAACAGTGCATTTTGGTTTGAGTGCACACTGTTAACCTGGCAGTCGGGGGGGGGGGGAATCCACCCCTTTTGTTCCCTTGATTAAATTTGTATAATTCAGCAGTAACAGAAAGGACAGCACCAGAGGGGCAAGACTTCTGTTTTCTGCCATGGAAAGGTCTTCATTGCCATTCATTAAGAGCTGTATTAGCTCTGCAATCCTGCATACAGCAGGCATTTCATGCATAACAATATTTTGGCAGTCAACCAATCATCTCGATATTTTTGGGACTGGCAAAATTCCAGAAGTGTCTCTCCAGTCATAGATGTCATTTGTTGTTCACTCCCCCGTCAAAGCACTGGCAGGAGTCAAGATTCTTTCAGGTGACCTTTTATTTATTTAACAAGTTTATCCTCTAAAAAAACTGCTTGGTTTTTTTTTTTAAAAAAAGAGAACAATTGCAGGTTGCAGTTGTCCTTTATGTCTTTGTACTGCCTCCTTCCTTTAATGTGCAGAGCATTTTTATTTACAGGTATTAGAATCATAGCACCTGAAGGACTCCTGAAGGCCATTTAGTTCATCCTCCTGTTCCATGCAGGAAAACTGAATCCAGAGCATCACTATCAGAAGGATGTTGGTTATCTGTTCATCGTGGAGACAGGCGCTGCATTCATTTTGTTAAGTCTTCTAAATGGCTGCTTTGGGATCCATCTCCCCACGCCCATCAAATGTTTCACTGAGAAAAATACTGTGGAAAATTCATCCTGATGTTGCGGCATCTAACATGAAGATTGGGTTTAAATCTTTTATCTCCATGGGACCCACTGCATCTGAGTCTCCACCCATACTATTACAGTGGTACCTTGGTACTCAAACGCCTTGGTTCCCAAACACTGAAAACCTGGAAGTAAGTGTTCCGGTTTTCTAATGTTTTTCAGAAGCCGAACATCCGATGCCACTGTCGGCTATTGTTTCCAGGGCGCCTGCACTAATCAGAAGCTGTGCCTTGGTTTTCGAACATTTCGGAAGTCAAATGGACTTCCGGAATGGATTACGTTTGCCCCTTTTGTTTTTACTATTTATGTTGCATTTTTGTTTTTGAAGCTTTTTCGGTTCATTTGTTTTTGTGATTGTGTGGTTCACAGTTCAGCTACTGATTGATTGATTGATTGATTGATTGTGTGACTGCGGAAATGTATAAAAGGCCCCCATCCAAACAATGACTATCTTAGTGCGGGTAAGAAAAAAAAATAATTTTTATTTTTATTATCTACAATACTGTCTTATTTATTTTATAGTACAGAACACTGATTGCTTTCATTTTATTGATCAGTGGTCTTGTTAGATAAATGTCTGGAGTGGGTTAATCCATTTTGCATTACTTTCTATGGGAAATCGCACTTGGTTTTGGAATGGACTTCCGGAACGGATTAAGTTTGAGAACCAAGGTACCACTGTACTTGAAGATGCATTTTCATGGAATGTTCACAAACACTCACCCTTCAGCTACTAAATTTAAAGGCCAGTCAGTGAGTGCTGCACTCTGCCGTGCTGGAAGTAGACGATCTGTTCACCTAGGAAAAGTAAATGTTGTTCTGACCTGATTTTAAACTGGAAAAAAAATCTGTGCTATTCAACAATATGTATATTCCATGGTGATTGCCTTATGGTGAGCTCATTTTCTTTCTGGGGAATAGAAAGGCTAGCTTCTGAATAGGATTGGATGCAATTTATTTGTACCTTAAGAAATATCAGATATCTAGGTGGAAGTGCAACAATAGAATAGATAGACAGATTTAACTAAAGTCATGGTGAACTAGAAAATATTTGCAAAACAAAAGAACAAACATTCTGGTTGAGTATATAACTGAAGAGGACTCATGGGAACACAATGTCTGTGCTGAACATTTGCCCATTTTGATTTTTAGTATGAAATTATTATTAATTATTATTATTATTATTATTATACTGAGAAGAATGTCCACGTTTTTCAAATCACTTTACTGGAATTATTTCCCTACCGCTGCTGCTTTGTGTAGTTTCTCCCCAGTGATTACTGAGTTTTCTTCCTGGGACTAGTTAGCTGGGCAATCCTGGCCAATCATAGCATCAGAAGCATTTATATCCAATCAGACTTAGCTATGTGCTGATGTGTCACTGAGGGACAATGAAGTAGCTTTTAGGAACCATTATCCTTAGTTTCAGTGAGTGAACACTATAGCAGAGCCCTTTTTCAAGATTGTTAAAAAAATAAATAAAATACCAACTCAAATGTGTTCAGGTCAGCTCTGCTAACATAGTATTACGTCTATTGAAGTACAAGGTTTCCTACTATGCTTTGAAAGAAATACAAAATATTTTCAACTTGGTATTTATATTTTTAGATGCACATTACATCAATGGAGCTGTCATTTTCTTAGCTAGCTTTCTTCCCCTCAGTGAAGAGGCAAATCATCCCAGGCAGACAAAGAAGAATTCCTTTTTATCCTAAAATAGACCTGATCTTTCTTGAACACAGTTATCAAAGTATGCTTTTAAGGTTACAAGAATGAATGAGAGGCTTTTACAATACCATCCTATGCCTATTTACTCAGTAGTAAGTCCAACTATGATCAGTAGGGCTTACTCCTAGCCTAAAGTTCTTAAGAACACTTTCCTGGGAGTAAGTACTGTTGGACACACTGGAGCTTATTTTCCCATTTTCCAATCTTAAAAGTTCAGCTCTATATGTTTCTGTAGTGATTAACAATTAAAAAAACCAACTGAAAATTCTTCAGCATTTTAATGTGATTTCCCCCCCCTCAATAAACCCATTTTTGTCTGCAGTTTAGATAAATGTACACATTTATGCAAGCAGTTTCTCCCAGTATAATGCATCGTTGCTATGTTTGAGGAAAATACAACCTTGATAAATTCAGCTTTAAATGGGATCTGAATTGAATTTCTGCCCCATCCCTACTTGTGAGTAAGCATGCATAAGATTGTGGTATTGGCCATTTGTTTGTTCTGACAAAATGACAATAGATAAGGCAGGTTTTACCTTGTTGACTGTGCCTTCCTGGATATTTTGCCATTTCTTGCAAAAAGCTGACAAAATGCATAGGAATGTCATGTGCACCCAAGTATCATAATTAACTTATCTTTTCTGAGCTATTAAACAGCCACTGAGAACAGCAGAAAACACACACAATGCGTCTCCACGTGGCTTGTGAAAACATATGGACTAATTCAATTTACAAGACGAGTGGAACGGCAGACTTAATTTCATCTCTTTACTGGCTCACGGTGGCATTCATTTATGAAGCACAGCATCCCCTCCTGAAAGTAAGTGGCTTCAGGACCGGCTGGCGGTGCCAAATTGTACATCCTGGGTTCGTGTCCTACAAATGCACTGACGTCTGGCGCTAATAAGCTCATTAGGCATAAAACTCTACAGCCCACAACAACAAAAATTGGCTGTATATACGCATTAAACAATTTGCAGCTCTTATATTCACAGACCTATTTCCTTAGGGTTTAAGGGTTGCCTTGAGACCAGGAGCAGGCTGCTGTGCTCACAAGATGCTGCCTTGTTTCAGACACACCTTCAGAGCGCAGAAACAGGAGATGCGGGGGAAAGACGGGATATGCCTTTCAGCAAAGTCATTGCTACGTTGCTTTATTTGGGTTGAAATCCCCTCAGGATTATGATCGTTTTAAACTGGCTGGCAGTCTGGCTGTATATACTGTGCTTAAGTTGCCAGGTAACCGACAGAAATAAAAATACTTCAAGTAACGTTCCTTGGGAAGCATAATGCTATTTTTATGTAAGCCAGCCTAGCAAATCAGGCTCCAAAAGTCATTAGGCCACAAACAATTTAACATGCCAGTGTGTCCAAACATAAGTATGTTCCTTGTTTGCATACCACCCAGTATTTCATTGGATAAAGAGAGAGATGCATCTGTACACCTCCTACCAAGGGTCACTGCTTGAGGAGGGCCTGTCCCCCATTACATATTGCTACAGGCTCTTCTCTGTGTCTTCTGCACTCTGCAATATTCATAAACCTTGAAATAGCCTGTCCTGTCCTTTCTTAAAAGCTAGGAAGAAGTCTGCTTTGTTGGTTGAAGGTATACAAGAGAGTCAACTCCTGGAATCCTTAGACAGCTGCCAGGGTCCAGATGTCCTGGCAAGACCCATGGCTCATGCCTATCTTGGACCCCTTTTTATATTTTCTCTCTCTCTCCTGGTACTCTGAGTAGCACCAGGAGGCTGGCGACAGCTGCCATTTTCATTGCCTACAATGCCCCGACCTAACCTTGCTTTGAGGAATTTAAGGGGTAGCTAGATACAGCTATGGGACGCGGGTGGCGCTGTGGGTTAAACCACAGAGCCTAGGACTTGCCAATCAGAAGGTCGGTGGTTCGAATCCCTGCAATGGGGTGAGCTCCCATTGCTCGGTCCCTGCTCCTGCCAACCTAGCAGTTCGAAAGCACATCAAAGTGCAAGTAGATAAATAGGTACTGCTCCAGCGGGAAGGTAAACGGCGTTTCCGTGCGCTGCTCTGGTTCGCCAGAAGTGGCTTAGTCATGCTGGCCACATGACCTGGAAGCTGTATGCCGGCTCCCTCGGTCAATAAAGCGAGATGAGCGCCGCAACCCCAGAGTCGGCCACAACTGGACCTAATGGTCAGGGGTCCCTTTACTTTTACCTTAGATACAGCTACCCAAGCTCTCCTCAGAACACTTCTGCCACAGCTAGGCGAACCTGCCATGGTCCCACTGACAGAGGAGGGGCCTGAGCAGAGGACACACCACTCAGGGCCCCCTCAAACCTGGAGATGGCAATGAAAGGCAATAAGTACATAAGCTTTCTTCAGAAGTTCTCTTTCTGACTTGAAGGTAGTAGACAGAGGCTGATGCCACCTACTGTCTGTGCATGGAGAAGAGTCATAACATCTGAAGAGCACTACTATTACTCTCCATTGGGTGGCGAACGTTTTCCAGTCCAGGGGCGATATTTCCTCATGGGCCATGTACCAGTAGTAGGGGTGCTCAGAGGCAAAAGTGGGTTGGGCCACAGGTAAAAGCAGAAGGAACAACAGATGTGACTCTTAACTTTGTGCAATGGGCCACACTCCAGACATGCAAAATCCACCTCACGCTACCACCCTTCCTCACAGAATTCACTTCTCAAGAACTCGGGAAGGGCGCTGTAGCTGTGAGAGGCACCAGTTCAGCAATCCACACTAACAAAATGTTAACAAATAGTTCCTTCAAAACCCACACCAAAGATGAAATATGTCCTTGACAGACAGGGGCACTGGGTATTTGTGATGTATCAATAGGCTGAAAGGAAAGCGGCGGCTATATTTTACAAAAGCATCTTTGTATGAGCATCCTGAAGCTATTCTTACTTTCCCCACCCAGGTTGGCAGGCGAGAAACTAGTTGCAAGCCTGACTGAACCCATTTTGACCTCATTTGGAGGAGTTGCTTATCTAGGGCAAGTACCAAGAGACCTTGACTGACTAGATGTGTGGCAGCAACCACATACTGCCTTTTCCATCCTAGCCATTGGAGTACTTTTCTGACATGAGAAGTGGGGGTGGGGAACTGTCACAGTGCTATCTTTATTAAAGCTGGTTAACTATGCAATACTTTTTTCCAGCCTGGAAAACAATTCTGCACTGTATTACATCTGGGCTAGAAATAGCACTTCACGCTCACTGCAGCTGCCTGTCTGATCTTTAAAGGTCTGCCCTTAACTGTGGCCCATATAATTGTGCATCATTTTACAACACATTCCCTTTTTTAAAAAAAATGACATTTCGTTTTTCTGTACATAAAATTGGAAGCATTCCTGGGTTATGTATGGCTGGAGCTTCAGAAATAACCTGGAGCACACACATGCCTGTAACCATTCTGACAAGTTTTCCTGAAAACAAAAGGCAGCATTCAGCGTAAGTTAACTTGGGTGCTTAAATTATCACTGACACTTGTGCAGTGGTGACCTTTGAAAAAATCTCATGAAAAGGAAGGACAAAGAAAGGCTGCTTTATACTACAGTTCTCTGCAGCATAAAACTCAGTTCTAAATGAGCCCAGCCCACCAAGCTCGGCTTCTTGGCAGCCTCCACTCATTCCCACGGGGGCTGGGCAAGGTTCTCATGAAAGACCCCTGAGAATGAGGAGACAAATATAAGTGAATGGTATGCACAGTCCATGCTATATTTGTCTCACTTGTTAAACTCTTGTCTTGTGATGCTGAGGAAAGGAAGTTTGTGGTGGATCATTTTCACATCTTTTTTTTTTTTGATTTTTTTTTTGGAAGTCCAAACTCCTGGGGTAGGTAGCACTTTTTTTTAGTTCTCACTTTCAAAACAATATGCATCCCTGATTACGCATTTACATTGATGCGGCTTCATTTTAACACAATCAGCAGTGGTACCTTCCAGTCCATGGGGAAGTTATTTTCCAGAAAGTTTGTTTGCCCCAAAGTTGTGGTTTCTTGCTAACAAAGGGTTTGTTTTTAAGTAGGATCATTGATAGGTCCACAGCTGTCAACTTTTCTCTTTTTTTAAGGGAAATTCCCTTATTCCGAATAGGATTCCTCACAAGAAAAGGGGAAAGTTGACAGCTATGGATAGGTCTCAGACAGAGTTTAAGGCAGGGGACATTCCCAGTTGTACCTGAAGGTACCAGGGATTGAATCAGCTACTGCTTGGATGAAAAATAATTGACTTCCCTTCCTCATCTTTTAGCTCACCACTTGGCTCTGACCTTGATCTTTCTTCAGTCCCAAGGATCTGTTAGGGTATTACAATATGGGTGTGGGTTTGAGCTGGCTGGTCACAGGCAGAGCATGGTAGCACCTGTGGCCACAGTCAGACTCAGGAAGGAATCTTCTAGATCCTTGCTGGAACCAGGCAGAAGGCAGAGATTCAGTGAAGGTGGAAGTCCTATTCAGGCATTCCCCACCTGTGATTCTAGTCATGGCGGGCAGGTGTGTGAGAACAGGAATACGCTTCTTAGCCCTCTTTTGTTGTGTCACTGTTACTGGCTTTGTAACCCTCCGTGCACTGGGGTCTGAACTTTGGCAGCAGGTAAGCCTTGTCTAGTGCCCGTCCCCCTTGTGATTTAGACTCCTGATCTTCCATGGTTCTAGATCACATGGGTGGTGGTGGTGGTGGTGGGGAGTCTACCCAAATAGAAAAGGCTCTCCACTGCAGAAGTTCAACACTGCAACTTCTGAAGGACGATTGAGGCCAATTCTCTCAGCTGTCCCCTCTTTTACATGAATGGAGTCACACTGGGAATGGGGCTCAAATGCCTGACTAGGCCTGGCCCAGTGGGTGAAGCAGGCCAGAATCTGAGCTACCTCCATTCTCCCCAGTTTTATGAATGTATATTTTGGAATAAGACCTCTGGATTGTTTTTCCTGACAGAATTCTTAATACCGCCATGAGCTACTGCAATTTGTGCTTGCTATACTCAGTTTCTCAATATTACATTTGATTTTCTAATTCTGACACAGAGCTTGCTGGCAAATATTTTTGCTCTGTTTTTAAGCTCAGAGTTCCCCAAACATCTGCCAGATTGCTTTCTATTTATGTCCCAACCTGACCTTGTTATAAGTAGCAGCTGATAACAGGTTTACTTCAGTTTGTTCCTGACAGATTCTGCCTCAGCTTTAGATTCCGCAAGGATTTAGCTCTGAATTAACCTTTCATACAGAATTCTCTGAGTCTAATGCTTTAGAGATCTAGTTCCCTAATTTATAATTCCATGTTCTAACAGAAGTAGTTTGGATACATATTTTCAAAAAAGAAAAGAGTTTAAGGGAAAAGGGAAACAATTATAAAATCTATTCCTCGTAAGATATTGATTATTTAATTTGTATACCGCTTAATATATATTGAAGCAACAAGAGACAAACAAAATATAAAAAATAAGTAGATACACACAAAAATGTTACATTAATATAAGTTTACCAATAGATATAAATCAGCATCAATATATTTTCCTTCTGACACTCCCTCCCTCTCAGCCTCTGGGATCTCACCCAGGGTCCAACAAACTCTCAGTTCACCCCCCAAAGGTCTCAAAGCAAGAAGACTTCCTGGAAACAATAGATATAATTTTAGTCTCTTAATCTAGACTTGCTCTTTATTGGCAGGCCCAAGGTGTATGGCACTTCCTTAGGCTGCTGTGTCCCATTCATCAGCACTCTCCACACCCAGTTCTAGGTACAGCAGCTTTGTTGAATTTCCCAGGGGGTCCAAAGGACTGAAAAAGCATCCCCCTCCACTCACAACTTTTTCTTCACCCTCTTTCCTCTCCTCCTTCTCCAGCTGCTTTATGAAGGCTCAAGCAAGTTTCCTAATCTTTCACCCAGATGTTAACTTAAGATAAACCACATGCACATTGGTGAAAACTAATGATGATGATGATGATGATGATGATGCAATCATGCCCACAACTGCATCAATATTCTTTTTGTGCAATATTTCCCCCAAACATACGTATCTATACATATTGATAAAGCATCACAAAAAAATTATTGATGTGATTTTGTTGTGATTTTTTGTTGTTAGATTTCTTACCCATCCTTCATCCTAAGGTCCATGGGAGGGCCACAATGATCTAGAACACTCAAGAACGTAAGAAAAGTCCTGGTGGATGAGGCCAATGAACCATCTAGTCAAGCATCCTGTTCTCAAAGGGTCCAACCAGATTCCCGTGGGAAACCCACAAACATAAGAGCACTCTCCCTCCTGCGGTTTCCAGCAAATGGTATTTAGAAACACTAGATGACTATTGAGCCATCAGTATCTCTTTCCATGAATTTGTCCAGTCATCTTTTAAAGCCATCCAGCGTTTGACTGTGTCGACCACAGCAAACTATGGCAAGTTCTTAAAGAAATGGGAGTGCCTGATCACCTCATCTGTCTCCTGAGAAATCTCTATGTGGGACAAGAAGCTACAGTTAGAACTGGATATGGAACAACTGATTGGTTCAAAATTGGGAAAGGAGTATGGCAAGGCTGTATATTGTCTCCCTGCTTATTTAACTTATATGCAGAATTCATCATGCGAAAGGCTGGGCTGGATGAAGCCCAAGCCGGAATTAAGATCGCCGGAAGAAATATCAACAACCTCAGATATGCAGATGACAGAACCTTGATGGCAGAAAGTGAGGAGGAATTAAAGAACCTTTTAACGAGGGTGAAAGAGGAGAGTGCAAAATATGGTCTGAAGCTCAACATCAAAAAAACGAAGATCATGGCCACTGATCCCATCACCTCCTGGCAAATAGAATGGGAAGAAATGGAGGCAGTGAGAGATTTTACTTTCTTGGGCTCCATGATCATTGCAGATGGTGACAGCAGTCATGAAATTAAAAGACGCCTGCTCCTTGGGAGAAAAGCGATGGCAAACCTAGACAGCATCTTAAAAAGCAGAGACATCACCTTGCCAACAAAGGTCCATATAGTTAAAGCCATGGTTTTCCCAGTAGTGATGTATGGAAGTGAGAGCTGGACCATAAAGAAGGCTGATCGCCGAAGAATTGATGCTTTTGAATTATGGTGCTGGAGGAGACTCTTGAGAGTCCCATGGACTGCAAGAAGATCAAACCTATCCATTCTGAAGGAAATCAGTCCTGAGTGCTCACTGGAAGGACAGATCGTGAAGCTGAGGCTCCAATACTTTGGCCACCTCATAAGAAGAGAAGACTCCCTGGAAAAGACCCTGATGTTGGGAAAGATTGAGGGCACAAGAAGAAGGGGACGACAGAGGATGAGATGGTTAGACAGTGTTCTCGAAGCTACAAACATGAGTCTGACCAAACTGCGGGAGGCAGTGGAAGACAGAAGTGCCTGGCGTGCTCTGGTCCATGGGGTCACGAAGAGTCGGACACGACTAAACGACTAAACAACAACAAAAGGCTAGTGGTCCTCACTGCCTCCTGTGGGAGTGTGTTCCCTGGTTTAACTATGCACTGAAGAAGTACTTTTTGTTAAGGATGCTGGGGATTGTAGCTCCATTAGGAGCTTCCTAAGAACTCTTGGCACTTTAACAAATGACAGTTCCCACGATTCTTTGGGGGAAGCCGTGACTGGTATGTAAGGTGTGGATGGGGTCATGATCAAAGGCAGGCTTGTGGTAAGAATCCAGAAAGGACAACTGGCATGACAAAATGTGAACAACTCTAACACACAGGAGTTGGTGTGGCTACTCAATGAAGCAGGGTGGAAAATCTGACTGGGATGGGAAGCCTTTATAAGGACCTGCTGCTCTGAGCCTGGCTTTGGCTGGGGAGGGTGGGATATAAACAAAACTTCTTCTTCTTCTTCTTCTTCTTCTTCTTCTTCTTCTTCTTCTTCTTCTTATTAACTGCTTCAGGTCTTAAGGTTCTTTGCTTGCTTGCAACAGACCACCCCCTCCATCTTCCACCCACACCACACTCTTGGACCCCTCTGTTTTAGAGCTTGGCTGAGGCCTGAAAACCTTATTGCTAGATAATTTTCAGGTCTCCTGACTTTCTTTCAAATACCACTATGCCATCAGTTTGTGGAGCTTCAAGTTGTCTGTCAAATACAAATACACACATGCAAATTATGTCATGCAGGGTTTTGGTTGTTACAAAAGCTTAACAATATACACATTGGCCTTTCTTTGCCCCCACACTGGGGAGCAGAAGATGTGCTCCCTGACACTCCAGATCTACAGTGCTTTGAAACCCAAGGTCAGAACCTTGAAAGCCAGAGTTTTATGAGATGCATTTGCCTGAGCTTGTAGAATAACCCGGGGACCCTATTCACAAGGTTGTCCTCCAGTTCCCCGAGAGCACAAATATAAAAGTGATTTACAGAAGCAGCTGCTGAGTGGCCTTAATAACGATAGGGATGCATTCAGTCATATTTCCTCGGGCGGGTTAATAGCGTGAGACTTTATATTCCTTTTGCCCTGTAGGAAGGAACCAGTCAAAGAGGGATAAAGGGTATTTGCGTCTCGGAAGTGCGGATGTGCTGCCTGCTGAGTGTGAGAGCATCAAGAGCATCTTAAATGGCCTACAATTGCTGGGTGCCCTCAGAACACATCAAATGGTCAATAATTGAAAAGACAACATCACCCTCCCCCCTTCTAGCTGCTTATCTATATGCTTGCAGTCTTGCATGGACGGCAAAGTCTTTCTCCTTCATCGCCACAGTAGCAGTCAAGGTCTTTGTCTCCCAGAGATAGTATATAGCTCTAATTGATCACGGAACAATTTCACATCCAGCAGCAACCCATTCAAACAGAGTCAGGCACATGCTTTGCATTGTTTCCTCAGTCAAAGAGAGGAAATGGCAGCTTCCAGGAAATCTTAGCAACTGGAGAAAGAAAGATAAGGAATGTTTATGTTTTCCATAACATGCCATGCCTTCCTTGCAGGGATATTCTCACTCTGCTACAATATTGTGGGCTACTGCTCTCAGGAAACCTAAAATGATACCCGCCTCCCTCCCTCTTCTCAAACAACTTGTCATGCTTTGAAAACAAAGATGTGTCCAAGCTGTAGGACAGCCAACATGGTGCCCTCCAGATGTTTGGGTCTCCAACTCCCATCAGCTCTAACCACTGGTGATGCTGACTGGTGCTGATGGAAGTTGAAGTCCCACAGTATCTGGAGGGGGGCAGATTGGCTGTGCTTATATTGTTTGGGGCTCTCCTTTCCCTTAGGCAGCTTTACAGGGTTTGTCTGTGTTCTGCAGACAAGTGCAGAGAAAGAAATCCATCTTATTCCTGTTTTGAACAAATTATTCTACATTGTTTTGAACATATTGCTTACTGTGTGTGTATGCAAAACAAAATTAAAAAAAAAATCCTTCCAGTAGCACCTTAGTGACCAACTAAGTTTGTTATTGGTATGAGCTTTCGTGTGCATGCACACTTCTTCAGATTCTTTCAGTGTGCATGCATATGAAAGCTCATACCAATAACAAACTTAGTTGGTCCCTAAGGTGCTACTGGAAGGAATTTTTTTATTTTGTTTCTACTACGGCAGACCAACACGGCTACCTACCTCTAACTAGAACTGTGTGTATGCATCTTACACATCTCATTTTTGTTTTGCAATTCCTTAAAAATCCTCCAACAAGCCCAGAAACTCAGGTGAAGTGAAACAATACCTTTATTTGGGACAAGTTAGATTAAAAAGAGAACTCAAGTTGACTGCTTAAAAAAAAAGAACCTTTTGCTTTTCCCACTAGGTATCAGTGGCTGTGAAAATGGAGCAGTCAGGAATGAGAATTGTGAATAGGAATTTCCTATCCAGATAACTACTCATACTAGCCAAAGATTAAAATGATGGTGGGGCAGAAAATGTGAAGACACATTTTTATTTCAAATTTAACACCCCCCTACCCCCACCTCCGAGTAGAGCAATAACAGTGTGATACTTCAACTCACCATCAGCCCTAAAAAACACACAGAATGAACAGAAATCGCAGGAGGGGTACCAATGATCTAACTCTTAGCACATCCTGTGGCACACACTGAACTCACAAGGCATGCTACCTTGTGCACTTTTTGTAAAAAGATGGTCTCGAATAACCTCTACAGGAGTACCTGTAGTGTGTGGATGCAATTTTCCTAATTTTTGGCATACATAAGAAGTTATGTTAATCCAACTCTGATTTTCTTGCCTGTACACTCCATTGAAGAATGCTAGTTTCTATACATAAAATATACTTTTGTGTTTACGTGAATGTTTGACATATAAGGGATTTCACAAACCACTGGTAGTGCTTGCCAAGATATGTAAATTATGAAGAGCTAGTAAAAAAATCCCCTGGAAACTCTATGTAAAGAGCACTGGGAACTTAGTGGAGCAACACAAAATCAAAGCAGCTGGAATCATAGAATCTGGCCAGATCCTCCAAAGTTTTGGGATAAAGGGCAGCTGCTCTGACCCTGGGGAAATCTGTGTAGTAATTCTTTCACATATTCTCACTTCTGAAATCCTGGGAATGCCAGAGAGAATGGAGAATTAGAGGCTAATGGGGGATTTGAAAGAGGGTGTGCGAGGAAATACCAGAGGGAACAGAAACATCTGCCATGAAAATCCAGCTGTGGGTGATATAGATGTGCGCTGAGGGTGGTAAAGGATGACAGCAAAGGCGGCACCAAGTGAATTGTTTCTCTGAACAATGGCTGTTTGCAGAAGCTGTCTTGGACAGTAAATGAAATTAACTAAACCAACACTCCTGTATGGCATTTCAAAAGGCTTGAGGCAGACACCGCAAACAGAATATATACTATTATCACACACATACACACATCCTCAGTTAACCAGTTTACTTCGCATTCTGCCAACGAGTGGCTGGATTTTGTGGTTTTATAGGACAGAAACTAATAAAGGATGAGCGAGTTCAACACTTCTTTAGGCTGTCTTCATTTACAACACTTGATCATCAATGTGGAACGCTGTGGCTTTGCTTCCTTTGTGAGAAGCAGAATTGCGTACCTCTTAGATTGTGTTTCTCCACCCTCCAAATAGATACGAGTTACACTTGGGGGTTGCTTTGAATTGTGTGTTCCCTGATGTGCCCTCATATCTAATCTCTTACGTGTAATCCTTTCTTTCTGTTAGATTATGCTGCAGAAATGGCTGTATCATAGGGCACATAGGGGAGTTTTCCGTTCTAATGGTGACTAGATGCAAAGGAGGAAAGAAAAGGGGATTTGGGGTGTTGCTGCTGGTCTCACAACAGAGGGGAAAGCTACAGCAGTGGGAAGTGATCATGTGACCCATAAATACAGGTACAGGCTTCCTTTGCAGAAAGGTAAAGGTACCCCTGACTGTTAGATCCAGTTGCGTACGACTCTGGGGTTGTGTGCTCATCTCACTCTATAGGCCAAGGGAGCCAGCATTTGTCCACAGACAGCTTCCGGGTCATGTGGCCAGCATGACTAAGCCGCTTCTGGCGAACCAGAGCAGTGCACGGAAACGCCGTTTACCTTCCTGCCGGAGCGGTACCTATTTATTTACTTGCACTTGACATGCTTTCGAACTGCTGGGTGGGCAGGAGCAGGGACCGAGCAATGGGAGCTCACCCCATCGCGGGGATTTGAACTGCCAACCTTCCGATCGGCAAGTCCAAGGCTCAGTGGTTTAGACCACAGCGCCACCTGCATCCCTTTGCATAGTCTCTTCTAATTTGACCTTTTAAAGTCGAAACAGGGTCCACAAACATTAAGCTGGCTCCTACTATATTTTATTTTCTACTAACTGTGGGACATATGAAAATTGTGAAGGGGAAGTGTGTGCGACTGGGTATCTTGCTCTCTAGAGGTCCAAGTACAAGCTGGCAAACAGATTGGTAGATAACATTGATATGCATTATCTTCCATAAAGAGGATTGTGCAAAGCAAGAGATTTCTCACTCTCTTGGCACTCCCCGCTATAAATGAATTTTTTTGCCCAACGTGGGGCTCGAACGCACAACCCTGAGATTAAGAGTCCCATGTCCCCTTGTCATCCCAACTGAGCTTAGTCTTTCAACCCTATCATGCTATAAAGTTATTTTATTCAAAAGATTGGTGGTAGAGCACATGCCTTTCAATACCTCACATCTTCAGCAACAAGTAGGAAGGACTCCTGCCTGAAATTCATGGAAAGCTGCTACCAATTGGTGTCAAATATGCTGAACTTCTTGGAGCTGTAATTCCACAGATCTGGAAAGCCACACAGGTTCACCATCCCTGTCCTGCATGTATGAATTATGGCTCTGTGCATTAGAGGTGATGGACTCATGGACATTGGGAATGGGGCCTACCACCAGGGTCATCCCCCAGAGTTCAGTATCCCTCGGTTTTGGTTGTGTGAAGACTGGACACTAGTAAAAATGCCTGCTTTGTACTATGGAGCATGGAGAGGTACTAAAAGAGGAGAGGAGAGCATGTGGTGGTGAAAGCCCTGCAGGGCTATTCATAAAGAAAATGAAACTCAGAGGAGATAAGTAATTAAAACCAACAGGAATGTCTCTTGAAATGCAAACAACACCTCAGATTTATGTGGGAAGAGGGGCAGGGTGGGAAAGAGTTGAACTTCCTCTCCCAGACCCCATGGCAGCTCAGGTTTCCCACAACTGTTATTTACATAGCAAAAATAAGCATGCTAATTTCATTTACACAATTAATGCTACATCCATGGTAGTTTCTCATTTTTTCCCTAATTTATCATGAGCCTCCCCACATGCCAAGTTTTGGCTTTAATTTTTTGCCTGTTCTCCTTCAGCTGACCAAATTTCCATATTTTGTTTTGAAAGCAACAATCGTGATATAAATATAATGGCTCCTGGATTCCACTTTTCTTGGAATCTGATTGCACCGAATGGAGCTTGAAGCAGCTGTCGGTTGCCCGAAGTTATTAAGGCTACAATGTACCAGCCTCTCATTTTTGTAGGGATTCATTCTATTTTTGATAAAAACAATATCCTAGGCAGTTTCTAACATCCTCAAGCTTACAAGCAAATGTATTCCTGACATTGTTTGTACTTACATTTCATGTTTTCCTCAATGTTTTTAATGGAGACTGATTGCCTCATCCACCTTAAAAACAAAAAGAAAGCTTAAGCATGCTCTTTGCAGGCTTTTTCTCATAGCATCTTTTAAAAAAATAAATAAATCCAAGGTACATTTGAAAAATCTGAATTGCAATTTTGCAGTGGCAGAAAAAAAGGTGTTGAAATGCAAAGGCAGATTTATCTGCCCCTTCCTTTGTGACTGCCAAAAGCCAAACACAGCTTCAAACACCCTTAGCATATCCGGGCACTTAAAAAAAAAAAAAAAAGGAAAGGAAAGACATGCGGCAATAGTAATCAGTGTCTTTAAGGATAATCAGTCCAATTTATGTTTCAAGTGTGAAATGCCCAGAACCAACACAGCAGGATGCCTTTCATCATTTCATCTTTGAGCAACTAATTAGTGGAAGAAGTGATAAGTCTTTTGGATTCTATTTAATCCACCTTAACTTGATAGGAAGATGACTCAAGATCATTAAATGGCAAAAGCACATTAGTGAAGCACCATAACCATTTGATTCAGTTGGATTGAATGTTGCCTTAGGGGCAGCTAAAACAGCAGGTTCTGCCGTTGCTTTGTTGCTAACATCAGAAGATGGTGGCACAACAGAGGGGTGTAGTCATCTTTAAGGAGCATGTGAAACTGTCTCCCAAGTGATTTTTGATTGGCTCCTTTCCACTCATTTCTATAGCATGTAACAGCATCATGTTATCTGGACCTGGGCTAAAGTTAGATGTGGCTTTATACCATGACTGACATCTCCTTTTGGGTCACTTCCATGGTTCCTCTTTCAGGAATGCATACATTTGGAAACTTTGGGTGTGTTATCAGAAATATCCCGTGCATAGATTTCAGACATGGCTTTGTATGATGGATGCTAAGAACTGCAGAGGCCTCACTCAAAAATGCAGCTTTAGATGGGCTGTCTGGAACTGTTTTAATGGGGATTCTGCAAAAGAACGGCTGTAGAAAACCCTCCTAATTTTGGATAAATTTTCTGTTTCATATTTTTATTTAGGTTGCCCTGTCAATGCTGTTTTACGTTAACCTGCCAGTGTCCTTTTTACCTTACATTTTCCCCTTAATGATTTTACCTGAAGCTATTCTATGTTCTGTCATTTGAAATAACACAGACTACATTTGATTGTAGCTTCAATAATTACTTTGGGTTCTAAAATGGTGTCTGGTGATGATGTTGCAGTTAAAGATCATTAGGAAGGTCTGAATAGAATAATACTGTACAAAAAATGATTTCATTCTATTTTCATAGCAAGGGTGGCACAGCTTCTATTTTTAAAAAAGCATCAGATTTAAAATGCAGCTATTTTATGGGACACAGGCGGTGCTGTGGTCTAAACCACTGAGCTTAGGGCTTGCCTATCGGAAGGTTGGCGTTTCAAATCCCCGTGACAGGGTGAGCTCCCGTTGCTCAGTCCCAACTCCTGTCAACTTAGCAGTTCGAAAGCACGTCAAAGTGCAAGTAGAGAAATAGGTACCGCTCCGGCGGGAAGGTAAATGGCATTTCCGTGCGCTGCTCTGGTTTCACCAGAAGCAGCTTAGTCATGCTGGCCACATGACCCAGAAAAACTGTCTGCGGGCAAATGTCGGCTTCTTTGGCCAGTAAAGCAAAATGAGCGCCTCAATCCCAGAGTCATTCGTGACTGGACTTAACTGTCAGGGGTCCTTTACCTTTCTTTATTTTATGAACATGTAGCATGTAATATTCTTTGCAGCTAAGGCTTAGGCTGGTGGCCAGTTGCTAGCCAGTGCAATAATTTCAGCAGTGGTGTAGCATGAACATGGAAGGCTGCCCTATTACAGTCAAGCTGCTCTATTTGCATTAGCTGCAGGTTACAGGTCAGTCTTGGGACAGCCCCACACAGATTACAATAAATAATAAGACAAGGAATATTTTGTAGTGCCACTTCTCTGTCCACTAACACTAGCATTGGCTCCCTTTGCATATTCAGTTTACTGTCCAAAATAGCACTACAGTTGCCCAGGTATTATAGGTATCATATTTGTAAGCTGAGTATGGGTGTTGCCCTGTACACAAAAGCTAAAGGAGAAACCACTCAACAGAGCTGGGACTGACTTCTAAGCAGATGTGCACATCAGATTTAGGGTAATTATTTTTTTAAAAACCCCACTTATTATAAATTGTTTGTCACTTAACACTATTTCAGTATCTTTTCATATTCATGATACGAATGGTTAAATTGCAGGCTTTCGTTCAATCTTCCAGTCCATTATTACACATAGAATTGTAGACCCCTCAAGGGTCATTAGTCCAGTCCTCTAAGAAAATGGATTCTAAAAAGACTTATTGGAACACAGGACATCAAAACTTTTCATGGGCAAATGAAATAGGATGCTGCTTAGTGAAGTGAATTTGCATGTTTCAGTTCTGGCACAGCATTCACAGGAATTTCAAGGGAAGTAAAAATAATTTCAATGAGGTTTGCAACATTTTTCATTTTTTCTTCTTCTAAAGAGTAATTATTCTAGATTAAGTGGAGTAAGGTGTGGTTAGTTTATCTCTGGAAGATGCAGAGCTACTGTAAGTGTCATCTTCCAGCAGGAAACAGAATTAGCAGAGACAGTTAGCTGATTCAGGCTTAACAGGCCAAGATATGAGAAAGCCTTTTGCCCTTTTACTCTACCTCTTGTTGTTGTTCAGTCGTTTAGTCGTGTCTGACCTCATGGACCCCATGGACCAGAGCACGCCAGGCACTCCTGTCTTCCACTGCCTCCCGCAGTTTGGTCAAACTCATGTTAGTAGCTTCGAAAACACTGTCCAACCATCTCGTCCTCTGTCATCCTCTTCTCCTTGTGCCCTCAATCTTTCCCAACATGCATGCAATTAAGCCTGTAATTCTTATTAGTTACACACAGTTCCCCATTTCATCTGGACTAGAAAACTATGGTTACCAGCTTTGGAACAAACCAGGATCTTTAGCCTACTTCAAGATCCTTGCTTGTTCCAAAGCCAATAACCATAGTTTCCCATGTTGGACAAAGTGAGAAACTATGGATTATTGGTTTAAGAACAGTTTAACCCAAACACAACTAAGTGGATAGACATTCATTTTCAACTGATTCCTCCAAGACATCTTTCAAGAGTGTATGGGATAGCCAAAGGGTTTTTTATATAAAAAAATCATTCCAAGCATGAAATGTACATGTGGGGTAAACATTGGTGGGAACAGTTGCCAAACCTCAGTGGAATGTCAAGAATTAAAACGGTTATAAATGCAATGCATTAAAAAAGTTAATGTCGCTGTGAGAATAGCTTTAGAGTTTGTTTTTTGAAAAGTTATCTGCAAATACAGCCGCTTCCAAGAAATACATCAGGGACCAGAGCAACTGAAGAGTTACTAATTCTGTCCTTGAGTCTGCTAATGACTTTCTGTAAAACCCAGTGAAAGCAAATCCATCCGTCTGTGAAATGTTGGTGGGAGATTGACTAGTTTAATCTTGCAACAGATGGCCTATACTCTTGCCACAGCTGAAGGACTCTCCTCAAAGATATTTTGGGTACATTCATACAGCATTCAAAAAGCACTTTAAAGAGCGTCATTTTAAAAGGACATGAACTACTTAAATGTAAAGCTGTATTTATGAAGCGAAGTTTACACCTGACTATGTCACAGAGAACATCATGAGAACCTCATCTCCCAGTGAGCCCTGGAACAGCTCTTTAAAATATTCCATGGTTTGATGAGGCCAGGTGTCTGCCAGTGTTTCCAATGGTGCCCATGAAATTTCTCAGTAAATATCCTCTAAAAAATCCACAGTTCATGAGAGACTATTTGCTCTTCCTGATCTCAGTTCATGCATGCACTGGCTTGGCCTTTCCTACATTGAACACACCCCTTTGAATATGCACACATTTCCTTGGATACGAAGACTTGAGACCTTCCCTCCTTTTTGTTTTGAACAGAAGAGTGGTGGAAAAAGCTTATCTGTCTGAGGAGTGTGACAATGGCTCATGTAGGCACCTTTCCACCCACTGAAATGGGAGAATGCCCATGCCCTTTTGTAGTCTTATTTTTTCTGCCATTTAGTGTTATGCCACACCTCCATGGCACTTTTTAAACATTCCAAATATGACCACTAGGCCCAAAAATTTTGCAAACCCTAGAAGATTGTAACATCAGTACAAAACGGTGCCATGGTGTCGCTGAGAGGAGCAACAGAGCCTCAGAATGGAGGTTCACATATGATCACTTCAGAATGAACGGTCTTCTATTTCTCACAGGGAAATCTACCAGAAGTCTTTCAGTGGCAAATCTCAGGCTTCCTCTTTAGTCTTTCACAGAAAACTGAAGAGTTTTCTCACTAAACCCTGAAGGCAAAGCAAGGCAATAGTTTGACAGAAGAGAACACTACGTACTTATTTGTTGCATCCGATTAAGTGGACTTTAGTCTACAAAACCATAGGCCACCATAAAACTTGTCAGTCTCCATTTAAGGTGCCACGGGAATCTTGTCAATTTTGCTGCAACAGACTAACAGCCTGGGAACTGCTATTTCTTTGTACTTTTTGCAAGGCAGGACTAGCAATGTTGACAGGGTTAAACTTCCTTCCTTCCAAAGGTGTTATAGAAGGGCTATAAACTAACCGTTCCTGCTTCATACAGGATGTGTGACAGGAGGCAGCACTAAAATGGTAATTTCTCCCCTATTTAACATTTTGCACCCAAGAGAAAGCTTTGAATTCAGCAGCCACAATGGCAGTGTGGAGTGTTGGTAAACATGTGACAAGGAGAGAAGATTTAGGGGGAGATAATAAGTCTGTGGGTCTCAGAAGGGCTTTCTTTTGTCCGGGTCATTATGTCTAAGCTGCCAGTGGCAACTAATGGCTAAAATAAACTCTAATCTGTGAGTCATTGTCATGGGGTCCCCTTGAAATCCCAGGCAGGAGCTGAAAAACCCATCCCTTTATTTGTCGGCTAACCTTCCTCCATTCAGCACCTCGCTGAAAAGAAAGTGGGGGGCAGGGGGACCTTAAGCTATCTGTCGCTACTACAGGTTGATGGCTGGCTTCTTCTCCTTGTATCCTACACTCCCTCCTTTTAGGGCGCAAGCCTGAGAGAAAAGGAATTACAAGACTGCTAAGCAGGGTGCCGTTCAGAAACTGAATAGGAGTGAAACTCTGCAAGACAAAGGGGCAAATTGATTAATTGGGGGGCTCTAAGTTCTACACACACTAATCTTACAAAGAGTTGGAGGAAAGAATGTGAGTCAATGGAGGCAGAACAATGATTCTTCTCTGTCTTCAGTATTCAGGCCAAATGGAAATTGTCCCCTCCCTTAAAAACACACACAAGAAGTGGCTATCTTTCTCTATTGCTAATAAGGAGTGTTTGCATTTCTGGAACATCTCCAGCTAAAGGTATCACCACCCCACCCCCCACGGACACTGATGGTTAGATTAGATAATTGCCATCTCCATGTATGCTAAAATAAAAGCCAGATGTGATACCATTTGGGTGACTATTCCGCTGAGCTTCAAAGCAGCAAAGCGCCCGTAGTCAGAAATTAAAGTTAACTTTGGCACAGCTAATGGAGAAATTGCTCGAGCTTTGTAAATTAATTGAACAGAATTTAGGGTCTAAATATTCATTGTTTGTTTAATGTACTTGGAAGTCTAAAAGATTGGCCGTTGGATGGAGGGATGGAGGAAATGCCCTCTTTTAAATGAACCTATGCACAGAAAAGGGATGCGGGTGACGCTGTGGGTTAAATCACAGAGCCTAGCACTTGCCGATCAGAAGGTCGGCGGTTCAAATCCCCGCGACGGGGTGAGCTCCCATTGCTCAGTCCCAGCTCCTGCCAACCAGCATTTCGAAAGCATGTCAAAGTGCAAGTAGATAAATAGGTACCGCTCTGGCAGGAAGGTAAACGGCGTTTCCATGCACTGCTCTGGTTCACCAGAAGCAGCTTAGTCATGCTGGCCACATGACCCGGAAGCTGTACGCCGGCTCCCTCGGCCAGTAAAGCGAGATGAGCACAGCAACTCCAGAGTCGTTCGCGACTGGACCTAATGGTCAGGGGTCCCTTTACCTTTACCTTTTTATGCACAGAAATGGGTGGTTCTAACCTGACTGGGTTTGGGCCACATCAAACCAAAGCATCTTGAGTGGGGTGCACACTTAAGTCTGAGCCACTCATGCACTGTGTGTGTGTGTTTTTTAATAAAACAGATTAAATATAGGCAAAATGCATGTATATATTACATGTAAAAGCCTCCCGTGATACTATTAATAATTACAAAATTATGCTGCAGGAAGATAGTATTTTTATACTTTTATAGGCATTGTGGTATGTAGCTTTTTATGTGTTGGGTACTTTAGGAAACCTGGAGTGCATATGTGTATGTTATACATTTAAATGATGTGCAACAGGTTGTTGTGAGGATGAAAGAGGGCAGAGGAGAACCATATATGCCACTTTGAGCTCCTTGGGAGAAAAAGGTGGTATATAAATGTAATCATAATTTTTAAAGTATCCTTTCCTTCTCTATCCCACACTACAAATTGCCCTCTAATCTCCCACTATAAATAGCTCTTGCCCAGCTTGGCAGGTGTTTAAGTGGCAAAACAGATTCCCAAACACAGGTCTGTGTCACCAAGCATCTAGTTTTGCCTCTGGAAAAGGATTGTTTCTCTGTACAAGTAAAACGGCTGCAATGATTATGGAAATCAATGCCCACTGGATATACACTATCTGAATAAATACTGGCTATGTTTTTTTAAGAATGAAAAAAAAAATGTGTGTAGGGAAAGCAGAGAAATGTTATATGAAAAAGTAGCACAGTTTGTGTTAATACGAAGAGATGTTTTCTTCCAGTGCTGACATCTGAATCTATCATGGGTCATGGTTAAAGTAAAGTGGAAATAAAAAATACTATTTGGTGACTGCTTATTTGTCTGTACTTCTGTGTTCTAACATTGCTAGCCTTGCCAGAGAATGCATAGAAATCAGAAAAGGAAAACAAGACCAGCTGTCTACAGTGTACAAGAGATGCAGGGTGCATGTTGCAAAGATGCAAAGTGACAAGAATAATGCAATCAAAAACAGCAGTGGGGAAATGCAGCCATTCACACATTTTCTTTGCTACTGATTCAAATACCGTACAGTTCCTTTGCTCAGTTCACCTCCTTTCAATCAAAACAAATTTGTTTTTATTTTATTTTAATCAGAAATGCTAAAATATTATAAGCAACAAATACGAACCATTATTGTGACAGGCTATAATTTTCTTTTAATTCTTCATGGCTATCTGCTTGCTATCTAAGGCTATAATCTGCAGGGATGTGATGCTCTTGAACTTGTACAATCAATGTATTTCCTAAGGCTGCAAGACTATGCATAATTACTTGGAAGCAATCCCTCCAGAATGTAGTGAAATTTACTTGAGAAAACAAGTGGTGCGCTACATCAGAAAATACATTACAATAAATACATAATAGAAAATGCATACATATTTATGAATGTCAATTCGGATGCACAGAAATAGATTCTGTTTTATTTGATTTTTAAGATCAGGCTTTCACAGGAAATAAAATCCAGGAAAGTTGAAACACACTAGAAAGTAGATAAAGTGTAAAAACTTTTTTAATAGTTGAAAAGTCATTAATAAGCTTTATTTATTTATTTAGATTAATTATATCTCATATTTCCTCTAAGGAGCTGAATCTGGTGTACAGTGGTACCTCTGGTTGCGAACGGGATCTGTTCCGGAGGCCCGTTCGCAACATGAAAAGATCGCAACCCGCAGTGTCACATCTGCGCATGCATGGGTTGCGATTTGCCACTTCTGCGCATGCACATGACATCATTTTGCACTTCTGCGCATGTGCGAGCAGCGAAACCCGGAAGTAACCCTTTCTGGTACTTCCGGGTCACCACAGGACATAACCTGAAAGAACGTAACATGAAGCAGACGTAACATGAGGTATGACTGTATGACATACATGAGGTATGGTTCTCTCCTGAAAAATAGTTTTGGTTAAAAGACAGTGACTTGCCCAAGTCCACCTATGGCTAATTAAGGAACTGAACCCTGATCTCTCTAGTCCAACACTCTAACCACTAGGCCACACTGCCTCCAAGTTTGTTTCAAATTAAAATAGTTAATAATGTCAAAAGTAGGCAGAGCAGCTTTAAAAAATAAATAGGAATGTTAATATGTAAATCCATGAAGTGACCAAGAGTTTGTTTTTGTTTTTAAACCAAAAGGATATCATATTCAAATATCAAATTTCAGAGTTACTTATGTCTGCTCTGGAAGATGTACATCATTCACAAATACCCCATTTAGGATGCCAAAATTCCTTAGCCTATGTTGAGGCATCCCAGAATTATAGAGTTGGAAGGGATCCTGAGGGTGATCTAGTCCAACCTCCTGCAATGCAGGGACCTCAGCACATAGTCTCTCAACCAATTTGAAACCATACTGGACCCTGCTTAGCTTTGCAGATGTGCTAGCAGTTTCATTGCTGTACCACTAGGAGCTTGACAAGAGCATGTTGCTTGTCCACACTGTGTGATTGCAGCATCAAAGCATAGTCATCTCTTTCAACAATCACATCAAAGCAAGGGGACAGAGGAGTATTCCACGTCAAAACTGGAAAGTGGCTGACATCTCCAAACTGGAGCACAATGAACCATGTAACCTTATGTCCATTTTTTTAAAAAGTGAATGTGCTCCACCCCACCCCCAAAAGTCTGGATGGAGAAGCAGTCTACTGTGTATAAATTGGGATTTTTAGCCTGATCTGATTTTAAGGGAGCAGCCCACTGTGAGCAAAGTAGATAGCAGACAGAAAGATGCGTGTGTGTGTGTGTGTGTTTAACTGGGTGAAGGGTGGTGCCCCAGAACCTATTACAGTGGAACCTCGGTTGCTGAATGCTTTGGAAGTCAAACATTTCAGCTTTCGAACGCCGACAACCCAGAAGTGAATGCTTCCGTTTTCGAACACGCCTCGGAAGTTGAACGGCTTCTGAGGGGCATTTGTCCATTTTTCCAATGGATTTTGCCGACTGTCCATTGAGCCTCAGCTTTCAGATGTTTCAGAAGTTAAACCGTCTTCTGGAATGGATTATGTTCAGCAACCAAGGTCCAACTGTACTACCATTCTGCTTCTGCCATATCAACTGACTATTATTATTATTGCCTTGCTGTCAGCTGTCATTTTGTGATTGTGCATTATGTTCAATCCAAATATAAGCTGAGCATGCTTAGAAGCCTCCACATGATCAGCAAACCCAATAATGCTGGGTTCCTGATCACAGCATGTCTTCTAAACATGTTCTTCTGAATGCACTTCTAAGCCTTTCCCAGACCTCTGTGTGGGAATGTCAGGGGTTAAGCAGGCAGGGAGCTGGAGTACGTACTCCTCTTCTCCACCACCATGGATGGGGAACCTGTGGCTCTCCAGACCTTGCTTGACTCCTGTTCCCATCAACCCCAGCCACAACAGCCAATGATCGGGGAAGAGGGGAGTTTTACTTCAAAGACATACAGCACTTGTGTGTAGAAATTAGCTTACTGCACAAAGGTAAACATTTGTACTCATTGCTCCACCCATTTCTGATTCTCATGCTTCCTTGTGAGGAATGGGAAACCTTAGTCCTGTGATTGCCAGCTGCTCGCCTGAAGGTTTATCCTATTCATTTAACTGTGACACATTATTTTGCAAGCGTTTGTCTTCAGGTGAGATTTAAAAGTGATGAATGTAACATGACAGGTGTCGACCAACATGATAATCTCATTAGCTTCCTGTTTGGCCCCATAAGTCGGTTAATTACCTGATATGATAAGTGGCAATGCTGATTAATGATGACTGATCTTGCCAGCAGTGGGGAGAGCAGTTTAGCAGTTTCACACATTCAGGCTGTCAAGAGATAATTGCGGTTCTCATGCAAATAATGCAATATGCGGACTCACTTCAAATTGTTACTGAGGTTAGTTTCTAATAAAGTCCCCTTCACACACACAAAAGGTACTCCCAGATTGGGGAGTGAGGGGCTTAATTTGGAAAAGGGTCATTTGGATATTGCAAGTGGGACATTGGCAAAAGGGGTTCATATTTTCACCTATCAGATTTTCCCAGCATTTTGAGGCCAACAATACCATGTGAATGCTGCAAAATATATTCCGAGATGATATGCAGACCACTGATGCCATAATAAACACTCATCTGGAGGTGCCCCAAAACAAAAATGCTTTCAGCATCACCAACTTGGACCTTTTACAATCTTAGTAAAAACATTACTACAAAATATTGGACCACGCATATCTCCACCACCCATAAAGTGTGGCCATTATCTATGTTTAAGAACGCAGAGTTATTTTCCATATGAACTAAAATAATCCCAGCGAGACCATAACTAAGAGGAAGTGCAAACCACCCTCAATAAATACCACAGTTGCATAGGGTTCTAAGTTTCCAACAACAGCCTTTTAATTGGAGGGTGGGTATCTCAGCTGAAATATGGGCTCATGTGAGAGTAGAAAGCAAATTTAAGGAAAGAATTGGCTTTACGGCCTATCAGAGGAGGCTGCCCTGGTTCTTGTGAATCTACCTGAGCAAGAAAATGTCCCAAACTTAGGATTTGTGGTACTTTGTTTTGTGCTGTTATTTGTTTTGTATTTTATACACATCAGAAGAAGCACTGTGAAACACAAAAGAATGGAGACTTGAAATTCAGAGGCATACCACCTCCAATGTAAAATGGCTAAAAACCATTGTCTTATTCTCCGTGAAATTGTCTAATTTCCTTTTAAGGCTCTCCAAATCGGTGCCCATCACTACATATTGTGGTGGCATATTCCACAGTTTAACTATGCAATGAATGCATAGAAAATATAATATTATAACACATAGTATTTATTTTCTATAAAATGTTTCCTTTTTTCTGTCCTGAATATTTCAAGATTCAGCTTCATTGGATGTTTCTGATTCTAGAATTATGAGAGAGGGAGAAAAACTCCTCTGTCCATGTTTCCCACACCATGCATAGTTTTATCTACCTCTATCGTGTCTCTTCTTGCTTGCCTTTCCCTCAGAACTAAAAAGCCCAAATGTTGCAACCTTTCTTCATAGGGGACTTGCTCCATCCCCTTGATCATTTTGGTTGTCCTTTCCTGAACCCTTTTCCCAGCTCTACAATAACTTTTTTGAGGCGAAGTTGCCAGAGCTACAAATGGTATTCCAGGTGTAGCCTCACCATACATTTCCATAAGGGCAGTATTATATTGGGAATTCTGTTTTCCATTCCTTTCCTATTTATTCTTCTGTCTCCCTAATAGGCAAGCTTTCATCTATTTAATTTGAGCATATCAGGCTGCTGTTAAAGGCATGGAAGCAGGCCAGCAAAAAGGATGGCAATTCTAGCAAGATGTGGGGAGAAGAATGCTGGGTTGAGGACCTGAAGTACCTGCTACTCCTTCCTCTGACCCACAAAGGAGTGGGTTCTTTGGAGGCAAGGAAGTGGCAGCAGCTGTTTCAATCAACTGAGTGTTTGGAACATACTTATTTTGCACTCGGATCATGTGCAAAGTAACACCTTTGTGAGTGTGCATGCGCAAGGGATCCAGCCTCTTTGTAGTGAGCATAGGGATGGCCATGCATCACTAGTAATGTATGACACCCATATGAATGAGATGGGGCATTGGAAGACAACTTTCTGTGATTTCCTGTACCAGATATCTAGCTGAGCATGAGCATATTACAAAGAGCATTAAGCAAAATCAGTAGCCTCAAATCAGCAGCCAGGGGAAAAACAAAGTGCTTCTTTTGCTTGATTCCTCAATAGAGGAGCCTTCTGTGCTATTGAAAGTAGGTACATCCAGTGCCTTTTTTTAGAGAGAGAGAGAGAGAGAAAAGTGTCAGTATTCACTATGAATTTGTTACAGTAAGTGCCACACTTTTAATATTTGAAAAAAAAGGTACCAGTACTCCCTACCCTTGAGTACCCCCAGAAAAAAGCACTGTCACATCTGTAGAGTAGAAATTCAATTCTGAATAAATACCTTCCCTCATATTGGTAGCTGCTAAACTTGTGTTCTTTGGGAACATGTGAATACAACTTAGCTGTAATTTTATGAGTGTATGTTAAGTTGAGGCATGGGCCCGCTAGATGAATGGAAAACAGTGGGAAGTTTGAAAAAGCAAAGACCATGCCAACACAGTGATGTTGGCATGGAAGCAACAACATCAGTCACCTGGCCCACATGGCATCGCTGACCACACCATGCTGCTAGTATGATAACTGGTTGGGCCTCAGTGTGAGGCAAAGTTTACTTGGTCGCCAGGCAAACATTTAGCTTGGTACAAAATACCACTTAGCTTGCCAGCCACAGTTAGGCATTTGTGTCATGCCATGTACTAAAAAGCAATCAAAAGTAGGGGATTGGTCTTGTAGCTGCTGCTAACCTGAAAACCAAAACACTTTTGCTTGGGGTTTTCTCTATCAAAATTTACCAGAGCTAAGGGGCCTTCTGCTAAAGGGATGCAGCAAATGAAGAAAGGCTCATGCAGTTAAGTGGACAAGACCAATAATGGGCCCAATGGTCAAGAAGGCCGTTGCACCCACTGTTGGTCTCGACTGCTCAATCTGTCCAGAAGGCAGTTTCTGCATGTGCTGTAAAAGTGACGGAAAGTGAGGGGCAAATGGGGCTCATCAAACGTGGGACAAAAAAATAAATAAACTAGAACAAATAGGGTTTGGGGAGGAAGCATTGATTGGAAGCAAAGTAGTATGGCTGCCTTGAAACCTTTGCTGGCACAAACAGAATTGCCATCATGAGCACAAATCCTCATGAATGCACAACAAACAAGACTTTTGGAAGGGCCTCTAAGTTAGGCATTTAACCTCTACATTTTTTACATTTAGATCTAAATGTATTTATCGTGTACATTACGCATAAAAAGAACAGAACAGGGATATATCGGGTCCTTCCTTAAAGAGGGCACGTATTGCGGGGAGTCCCAGGAAACCAACACCCTGTGTTGTGGGTGGGTACGATTGGTCAACCACAACATCCGTTTGGTAGGTCCCTCGAAGCTGGGTACAATCTGGCCAATGGGACGCAGTCCAAACGGTTTGAGGGACCTATTTATGCCCATGAACGTGACCCAGAGCTCCCTCTTTCGGCACGTTTATTCGGAACACCTGCCCATCTCTCCCTACTTTTAGGGCTTGTTGCGCTCGACCTTGCTATGCCGTCGTGTGTCATCTGTCATTGGGACAGGGGCATGGCAGGAATTTCCCCCACTTGGCTGTTGCCATTTGGGTTTCACCTGCCGCGTAGCAATTTGTCACAACTTGGAAGGTTGTGGATAGGCTCTGGTTCAGGTGATAGGGATGGGAGAACGCTCTCGCCATCCCTATGTGAAGGGTATTCCGTTAAAGGAATCCAGGGACTCAGATGGTTTAGTCAAACCTTGAGAGGGGGTTGTGCCTATGCCTGAGTCCAGGGGGATGTCTGGGTGGTGGACATAGTCTGTTCCCAACTTTCCGCCTATCCAGGTGTTCATCCTTGGCTGACCTGTGCTGGAACCCTGGGTCAGCGCTACCTGCATGGTAGAGAGGGGGTTGAACCAGAGCCTATGCAACCACTCACTTTCTGTAATCAAAGTTGTGGCCTAAATTCTGCCAAAAACCAAACTAAAATTTGAGTCAAGTGTGAATTTAATTAGGGAGGTGGTTTCTGGGTCTGAACATGCAAACAGCATTGCCATCATGTGTACAAATCCTCATGAATGCACAACAAGACTTCTTGAAGGGCCTCCAAGTTAGGCATTTAACCTCTACATTTTTTACATTTAGATCTAAATGTATTTCTATTGTGTACATTATGTATAAAAAGAACAGAACAGGGATATATGTTCAGTTTCCCTAACTGCAATAATGCAACTGCTTCACACATGTTATGGCATTCTTCTGTTGCAATAATTATCTTTAATTTGTTTCTTTCTGCCTGTTACTGCTTTTAATTGCACTGTTTTGTCTCTCATTTCCTCTTATCTGGTCCTGGTGCTCTGAAAAGCAGTTACCAAACAAGCAGCTAGCCAAAATCTTTTCACTTTACAGATAACAGCTAAGGAGCAAGGAACTGGTAAGTGTCTAACAATCATGAATAGTTTCATTCTTTGATTAGCTTGGTATTCCCATATCCTCCCGTATCTTTGCAAAAGCTCGACTTCCTGTGTGTGTGTGTGTGTGTGTGTGTGTGTAAGAAAAAGAGAGACGCAGAGAGAAATCTCTGGGGAATTTCAGTTCTCGTAAGAAGCATCAACATTTCATACAGGACCAAGCAAATCTCCACATTCTCTAATTTAAAAGGGGGAACAAAACCCATTATAAACAGAAATAACAAAACATGCCACCGGGGAATAGAAGATGGCAGGAACCCATTAAGTAAATAGCAAACACCAGGAACAATGTGAAAATAAATATAAATACCCAAAGCAGGTTGCATGGGAATGATTTATGGGCATGAGTTTTCTTTCTGCTTCTTCCATAGCACCAGATTATTTCTGACTGAATCTCTAGATGCAGTTGACTTTCCCCTCTTTTTATCTATGTAGAGATTCTACTGTTGTTTGCAATTATCGCAACAAAAGTGCCACCACCTGATATTATAGGCTGGGGATTGTATGAATCTCAACCCATGTCAAAGAAAGCCCCTGTATGCATAGGAAGTTACATTTCAGGATGTAAAGTTTCAGCCTTGACTTCTCTCTGCTTTGGTAATTTTATATGTATAGGGCTTTGTTATTGCGATGAAGCATTTCCGCATGAAATACACCTTTGAAATGGTAGAGTCCAGGTTCACGAAGCGTTTGGCTCCAGCGGGTTTAGAGAAGCAAATGGCTCACCATGGACTCTGGAACAGTTGTTGGATTCCAAAGGTGGTAATGATTAGCAATGACATTTCACACAACATCATTGCCATTGTTAACCATACATCAGGGTTAGGCAACCTGGTACCCTCCATATGTTGGCCTACAACTCCCATCAGCCCCAGCTAACCTTGGCTATGCCTGCCATACATCTGGTCACTGAATTTTTTGGAGGTATCACAAAAGCATGCAACAGTTCTTACTGTATATTAAGAGCCTTCCCTTGATTATCCTGAAACACACTGGGAGAAGAATTGAATGAAAGTCACATGTCTCCTCTACATTTTGCAGTAATGATCATGTGCAGTTAAACTCTTGAAAAGTAGGATTAAAGTTCATGGGATTGTCAGAAAGCTGTCAGCAGGCTTTCACCACACTTCCTGTGCTGAGGATCATGAGATTCTCAGGGGGGTCACTGTATGATTGAGAAAGGGTGTTGTATAGATGTGCCTTTAAGTTACTCTAACTTTTTACAATAAGCTCCAATTGTTTTTTGTTTGTTCTGCTTTATCTGGACACATGCTGAAGCTGTGTTGTTATGCTGGACATGTCTTTCTGGCAAACCTCAGGCTGACATTTTCCAGGTGCTTTGAGTACATCAGCCAAAAAGATATCTTTTGAGTGAAATTTAGAGCATGATAATGAACAGACTGTGGCCAAGCGGGCCAGTTGGGTACTGTGTGCCTTCTGGAAAACATTTCAGCTTACTAACTTCTAGGGATAATTCACATGGAAATATCAGTTATATTTATAAAATAAATCCAGTTGACAAACAAGAAGCAAGATGATGAAACTAGAGATAAGACAACTGAATAGTCAAAAGGGATTCCAGGTCCCCAGTTAAGACCCAGTTAGGATGTAATATTAGAAGTTGTCACTGGGTCAAATAGGTACTTTGAACAACTGAGGTGACAGGGAAGTAATTAGCTTATTGCCCCAAATATTCAACCAAGCATCTTCAATAGCAAAGGGATTCCCCTACTGGCACTTCACTCCTTTCATTGGTTGAGCAGATTGTGCTACAGCAGTCAATTGGAAATAATTATACTTCTACTAACACACAGTTGTATGATTAATGAGGGGACACAGCTCATAAGAGCAGCCCTACTACATCAGGCCAGTGGCCCAGCATGCCCAGCATCTAGTTCTCAGAGTGGCCAAACAGATATCCATGGAAAGCTTTATATACAAAAAGTCCAGATTCAATTCCTGGCATCCCGAGCAATGGCTGCAAATTACTCTGGCCTGAAACCCCAGAAAGCTGCTGTCAGTAAGTGTAGAACCTGCAGTCCATGGGCCAAACTGAACCCATAACAATAGTTAGTAACAGCAATTATCTTGTATCAGTGCCATTTGGCTATGTGTACAATGAGCTGCTATTTTGCATATCATGACTTGTAACATAATCAAATACCAATTGTGGTGTCTGAAGGTTAGGTAGGAAATAATCTGACCAACATTTTAAGTTTAACTGGTATCTTTGTTGTGTTTTTAAGTTTAAAAGACAATCTAGAAATTGTGTCAAATAAATCTGTCAAATAAACCAGAGAAAAAGGAAAGATATCAGTGAGCCTCCTACTAAATCAACTGGACCCCTGGTGGCTAGGGTTGGGGGTACTCAGGCTGGGGGCTGAATGTGGCCCTCTATAGATGTCCACCTGGCCCTCATCTGGCCAGGCAACACTTCTGAGCAGATCATTGTGACTGAGTAGAAGGAAAGCTCTCAAGTTTGTAGTATTACGCCTAGCAGTGTTCTGCCTTTTTACAACGAATAATAAAATGCTTTGTTTGGAATCGGAAGTCCCACAATCTTAAATAAAACAAAGCAACACATGGCACCAGGATGCTGGACTATGATAATGCCTTTTGCTTGTCTGGATGGAGAAATGTGTGTGCAGAAAGCTCTGACTTTTGCATGGCTGGAATGTAGCCTACTGTCCAAAGAGCGGACCCCTGTCTGTTGCTCCACCTATTATTATTTTTTGCCTCTGGCCCTGTCCCCCATTGGCAGGCCAACTCTGGAAGGCTGCTCACGCGGCTGTGTGACCCTTGAGCTGAAGAAAGGTCCTCATCCCAGCCCTAGCCAACCATGGAGGCCATGTTATGCCAGCTGCCCTGTTGGAAAAGCAGGGCAGTTAGGTAGGTAGATTGACATTTATGGTGCACAATGGCAGGCTGGCGAAAAAGACAGAGCCAGAGAGAGAAACAGCTTCCTGATCCTTGCTGCAGAAACATGGGATTTATTCTCCTTCTTTCACCTGGGATATATTTTTTAGATTAAGCTTTTTAAAAGGCATGTGTATCCTTCATTCGCCTTTTGTCCCTGGGTTCATTGATCTATTGTGCTCTGTCAATGACCCCCTTTAAGGGAAGTGAATCATTCTCTTTTGGATGTACAATGCCTGTAATCTACCCGAAGTCTTTGTGTCAGGATGCAATAGAAATCAAAATAAATAACATAAATGGCACAAGAGAGTGAGGGTAGGCCTTTTGTTCTATGTGTGCAACCTTAATGAAAGCGCAGCCCTGAAGAAGCTATACCTACTACAACTATTGCAGGGATGACCAGAGTTGAGTTGATACTGCACTTTTGCAACACAAGAAAAAGAAATGTGGAAATCAGCATGAAATAACTAGAATTTGGGCACCTCAGGAATCTCCACTTTGGAATGAGGAATATGTGGCTTTCAGGATGCCACTGGACTTGGCTGCAGACCCTCCAAGTGTCCCTATTTTCCAGGGACGTCCTTGATTTATAGAAGCTGTCCTGGTTTCTTATTTGACCCTGGAATGTCCCACTTTTCCTTAGGATGTCCCCATTTTCGTTGGAGGGTATGGAGTTATCTGACCCCCAAGCTGTCTGAAGGCAATCCTGTACAGGGAAGTTTTAATGCTTACTGTTTTATTATGTTTTTATATATACTGGAAGCTGCCCAGAGTGGTAGGCAACCCAGTAAGATGTGTGGGGTATAAACAGTAAAACTATCATATGGAATGGGATGTCCCTATTTTCATCGGAGAAATGTTGGAGGGTATGCAACTGGGCTACATCAGGCCTGACCATTGGCCATGTTGGTTTCTGATACAAGTTGGAGCAATATATGGAAGAACACAGGTTGTACACGCACATTCTTATGATCACTTGTATGCATATACATATAGCATGAACATATACAGCGGTACTTCGGGTTAAGAACTTAATTCGTTCTGGAGGTCCGTTCTTAACCTGAAACTGTTCTTAACCTGAAGCACCACTTTAGCTAATGGGGCCTCCTGCCACCACCACGCGATTTCTGTTCTGATCCTGAAGCAAAGTTCTTAACCCGAGGTACTATTTTTGGATTAGCAGAGTCTGTAACCTGAAGCGTCTGTAACCCAAGGTACCACTGTATGTACAATGGAACATTTACACACGGAGAGAGAGATTTTAGGTGTGCTTAATTTACCTAATTTATACAAGTTACATAATTTATCCTTTTCTTATGAAGAACTTGAGTGAACTTGGAAAATACTTTTTTTAAAAAATGTACACAATTCTGTTTGTTTGGTCATATATACACATGCCGAAGGTATTAACAAAGGCATTCAAAGTCCCTCCCCAGAAGAGATTATTTTTGGCAAGTTTGTTGATCACTCTTATGCTTGAGGGGAAACAATGCAAACAATACGGCTAACTATAGAACATGAAAAATAAAATATGTTTAAACAATAAAAGAAACTTAATCTATCATGAAACAACAGGTGTAATCTGGTTAGTTTACATTGTATGACCATTTGAGCAAAAAAACCTTGATGGAAGTCCCTGAAGGCATGCCTCAACATGAAAGGAATGCCATGTACATTTCGCACATTTGGAGTTAACCTGCAAAATCATGATCAGGTTAGAAAACTGCAGCCTTTTCTTCTTTTCTCTTAAAGATCTCTCAGAAAATTGCCGTAAGGGGGTGGGGAGAAGGTGGAGAGCGCATACATAAGGAAAACGGAATGTAATCGTTGGGAGGGAAATAAACAATCTCTGATGTTCAGAAAAAGGAAATTAAAAAAATGGTTTATAGGCAGAAATTACCTAGGATCCTCGAGATCTAAAGAAACCACAAAAATGAGAAGACAAATAGATACAATCTTGAAAATGAAGGATAAGATATCAGCTATCTGAAAGTGCAGCTGTTACAGATTATCTGTAGAATACAGCATGGTGCCAATTCCTTTGATGAAACCAGCTCTCCTTTTACAAACAAATGAGGTGGTGACTAGTCCCCATTAATCTTCCTTAAGTATCATAGTAAGACCATAGTAAGATCTGTGCCTAGAGACTTTGGAAAGTACACCCTGCGCATCAATAATGTACGTATTCTTTCAGCTGTATTATATCAGAATAGTCAGAGACACAGAGTACACATTATTGCACCCCTTTCACAGTAAACAACACCTGCCATTGCCAGGTTGCCAATATGCCCATCATCATGCCAGTAGTCACTGGAGTTTTCATCAATGTTATTGCCATTGTGCTTCAATGGTGGTTGGGTTGGTTCTGGTGGTTGGGGAAATAGCAGGTATTAAGACTAATAATGCACTTCTATACTTTGGCCACCTCATCAGAAGAGAAGACTCCCTGGAAAAGACCCTGATGTTGGGAAAGATGGAGGGCACAAGGAGAAGGGGACGACAGAGGACGAGATGGTTGGATAGTGTTCTCGAAGCTAGCAGCATGAGTTTGACCAAACTGTGGGAGGCAGTGGAAGACAGGAGTGCCTGGCGTGCTCTGGTCCATGGGGTCACGAAGAGTCGGACATGACTAAACGACTAAACAACAACAACAGGCACAGTTGCTGTGGAGTAAGTCTCATTGAAGTCAGCGAGACAAGCTACCAAAGAGCCACACATCTGGTCAGGCTTTCAGTTTCAAAACAAGTGAGCTTTTATCCAACTGTGCGTAACACTTGGAACAGACAAAATGGAAAAGAATGAGTATGTTTTATGAAATTATATAAAGAACAGTAGAGAAGATGGAGGAACTCTGTGGCAGTAACTAGAAAAGGTTCTAGAAACAGGACTGGGTCTAGCAGGTCTAAATCCTTTCTAGGACTTGCCATTCCCAGCTTTGAGACTTGGCCCTGATAGTATGCAATTCTATGTAAGTATATTAAGAATCAGAAGGTAATCTCTCCCAGGTCCAAGCATATAATGGTGGCCTAAATTCACGGTGGTGGTGAGAAATCCTCTAGCCTGTAGGCCAAGTCTCTCCATATGACCTGCAAGACCATAGATGTTGGTTTCTTAAAATTCATAACAAATCAATAAAAGGAATTGAAGTGCAAACATAACAAAATAATAAGAATAAAAAATGGAAACTTTAAAATGCCTGAAGGACAAAAGTACAGCACAGCTCCAAAGAAATAGTAAAATATTGACTCATACAAGCATTTCCACTACAAATAACAAAGATATGCAAAAATGAAAGTATTCTTCACCTGTGAGTTCCATCACTATTGAAAATAAATGTTCTATAAAGTCTTAGATGAGCCAGACATTTGCATATACTGAGCGACACTGAGTGATCGTGTGCTTCAAAAGTTGAATACAGTGGTACCTCGGGTTAAGAACTTAATTTGTTCCGGAGGTCCGTTCTTAACCTGAAACTGTTCTTAACCTGAGGTACCACTTTAGCTATTGGGGCCTCCTGCTGCCGCTGCAGCGCGATTTCTGTTCTCATCCTGAAACAAAGTTTATAACCCGAGGTACAATTTCTGGGTTAGCGGAGTCTGTAACATGAAATGTCTGTAGCCTGAAGCGTCTGTAACCCGAGGTACCACTGTAATAAATGAAACCAAGTTCTGCCCTTTAAATATGTTCAGTTTATATCATTTCGAGGAGGGAAATTTGCCAACTCCCCATGTGCCAACAGGGACGGGGAGAAATTCAATTTGCATTTTAATGCAAACCTAGCTAATTCACACTTCCTGAAATAATACAGGAACTGAACCACAGCTATCTTTTGAAATCCCACTTTTCTAAATTGTGCTATGCAGGTCTCCAACCAAAATAATGTGTACAAAAATGGACATAACGTGCTTTAATGTTGCACTTTACACTGTTGTGACCTACCATGGGACCTTCTGGGGAAGGGCAAGTTATTATTATTATACGCTATGGTGAATAAAATTGCTTACAAAAACATGTATACTGTAGAAACCTGCACACAAAAAATGGCTTATTTGATCATCAGCCAATGTGTACTTTATTTGTAAAACCTTTGGGCATGAAGGATACTTCCAAAGATACCTCCTGTGAAGAATTCTTTCTCAAAGAAATAAATCCTTCCTATTGCAAGTACAGTGGTACCTCGGGTTACAGATGCTTCAGGTTACAGACTCTGCTAACCCAGAAATAGTACTTCGGGTTAAGAACTTTACTTCAGGATGAGAACAAATTGCGTGACAGCAGCATGGTGGCGGCCAGAGGCCCCATTAGCTAAAGTGGTATCTCAGGTTAAGAACAGTTTCAGGTTAAGAACAGAACTCCAGAACGAATTAAGTTCTTAACCCGAGGTACCACTGTAGATCAACTCATTTCAGGTATATGAAATTTCTAACTAGCAGCAAATCTGTTAAACTGTGGTTTTGATGTACAACATAACTAACGCCTTCCATGTAAAAGGTCCCAGGAGTGGCTACTGGTATATCCAATTATGGCAGCGTAGAGAGCATATTCATTCCGAGGTCCAGATTGCAACTTCCTTAGCCTTCAGTGGTGAGTGGGCAAAAAGAGGGTAGGCAAAAAACCAAAGAACCACCAAACCACCATCCAAAAAAAGAAGCAACAAAGGGGGGCGGGAAACGTGTACCTCTATCTCCCCTCCCCATTGTCACAAACACACATACAGTGGTACCTCGGTTTTCGAGCATCTCGGAAGCTGAACGTTTCGGTTTTCGAACGTCGAAAACCTGCAAGTAATTGCTCCTGTTTTCAAATGCGCCTCAGAAGTCAAATGGTTTCTGCTGAGTTTTTTTCCAATTTTCTCAGTGGCCTTGGTTTTTGAATGTTTTGGTCTTCCGGAATGGATTACAGTGGTACCTCAGGTAAAGTACTTAATTCGTTCTGGAGGTCCATTCTTAACCTGAAACTGTTGTTAACCTGAAGCACCACTTTACCCAATGGGGCCTCCTGCTGCTGCCGCGCCGCTGGAGCACGATTTTTGTTCTCGTCCTGAAGCAAAGTTCTTAACCTGAGGTACTATTTATGGGTTAGCGGAGTCTGTAAGCTGAAGCGTATGTAACCTGAAGCGTATGTAACCCGAGGTCCCACTATGTTTGAAAACCGAGGTACCACTGTATGTTTGAAAACCGAGGTACCACTGTATATCAAACACCATGTACACAGCTCTCTCTGTCTCTCTCTCTCTCAGTATTCCCAGCCCTCTTTATTCCAGCACTGGGGGGGGGGGGGGTTGGCTGGCTGTAAAGACCTCTCTGCCTACTCTTTGGAGATCTAAAGGTGATTGGCAGGTAGGGACGAGTAAATCTGACAATTCTGGTTTGTCTCCATTTCTCATTTTTCCAGCCCTAAATTCGGCTCTCCACATTTGTGCCATCAGTTTTGTGAAGCTTTTTAAGAAAACAGTCCTCTGCATCAGAATGCACATTCCTTCTAATATTCAATAGCAAAATCAACGGCATGTATGCATCCAGTCCCAAAACTTTCTGGTGGCGGTGCGAAGATTTGTAGCTAGCTGTCTAAATGTGTGTTACTATTGAAACCGTGTAGATGGGAACAATTAGCACCTACTCATGTGAAGCGAGTATTAGACACATACTGAGATCGTGCCCCTGGATCAGCTTTAGGCCAAGTACCACAACATTCTCTTACTCCAGTGGAAATGATTATTCTAAAACTTGGATGCCTAATATGGGGAAAGGTAGCTTTAAAAATATGTGGTGTAAAAGGAATGGCGATGTTTCAAACCCAATTTCATTGAGTGTGAAGCTGTGAGAAGATTCTGTTTCTTCATGCATCAGTGCTAGGAGTGCATTTGCAGTGTAGATTCTTCCCACCCTGCCAGGGATTTGACATTTCCAGTTGTTGTTACTTCTTCTGCTTTGTCGAAAGGCGTGAAAGTTACAAGTCTGAAGCTCAGGCGCTTTTTAGCAAATTGCTTTTGGCTTGTAAAACCAACTCGTAAAAAAGCATCTGCAATTTAACCAACAAGAGATTTCCACTCCTTGTTGGCCAAGACTGAACTTTGATGTCAGAAGCTGATCTGTTTCACACACAAAAACACCCCACACAACACACACACACCAGTGCTAGCCTCTACACAGGGATTTTTAATTAAGGTTGAGCTTGGGTGGGAGGTTTCAAGGGAGTTGGTCTTGTGTCTTACCTACCTCCTCATGAATTTTCTAATTATGCCTTTGCTGTCTACTCTAGGCATTGTTTCAGTATCTCCTGCTACTCTGCCAACACTGCTGGCTTGGCTAACACCTCTATTACCACTTCCCTGTGGAGATGTGCACCTGTCACCTATGTAAATCTGGCACAGATAAATAAACATGGTATTACCCTTTCCCCGCTTCCAAATAAAGCATTATTGAATAAAGCAAGTTATATATCAGTACAGTACAGACAGATCCTCCCCCCGGGACCACTTTTCACAACATGCACATTAACCCCAACAATGAATACTGGTTTCATAATAATAATAGAAATTATGTGTCTATTGAATCATAAAAACATTTTATAAAGAATATCCAGAAAAGCTAGATTCTGAAGAATATAGCTGTACTCTGAAGACAAAAAAACCTACTGACTTATTGATTTCTTATAAGTGCATATGGTGCTGATTTTCTGTTGGGATTTTCCAGTTTTGCTATATGATCAACCAAGTCAAACCAAATAGCATGTACTGTATTTTTCGCCCTATAGGACGCACTTTTCCCCCCTCCAAAAATGAAGGGGAAATCTGGGTGTGTCCTATGGGGCGAATGCAGGCTTTCGCTGAAGCTTGGAGAGCGAGAGGGGTCGGTGCGCACCGACTCCTCTTGCTCTCCAGGCTTCAGGAAGACACCCGCAGCCTAGGCAGCCCTGTGGGAGTTCCCGCAGGGCTGTCTAGGCTGCAGATAGCAGCCTGCTTCCCGGAGCGCCGGGCGCGTTGAAAGCAGAGCGCCCGGCGCTTCGGGAACGCATCCGCAGCCTAGGCAGCCCTGCGGGAGTTCCCACAGGGCTGTCTAGGGTGCGGATAGCAGCCTGCCGCCCGGCGCGAGGGGCGCCCTGAAGCAGACATCCGCAGCGTGGGAAGCCCTGCAGGAGTTCCCCGCAGGGCTCCCCACAGTGCAGATAGCAGCCTGCCGCCCGGCGCGAGGGGCACCCTGAAGCAGAGCACCCCGCGCGCCGGACAGACATCCGCAGTGTGGGGAGCCCTGCAGGAGTTCCCCGCAGGGCTCCCCACACTGCGGATAGCAGCCTGCCGCCCTGCGCGAAGGGCGCCCTGAAGCAGAGCGCCCCTCGCGCCGGGCAACCATCGGCCAGCCCCACAAGCTCGGGGGACAGCAGGGAGGCGCAGTGCCGCCATCCCGCTGTTCCTCGACCTGGTTCGGTTTCCCCAACCTGGTTTTTTTGGGGGGGGGAAATAAAGGAAAAAAATTATTTCCCCCCCAAAAAACTAGGTGCGTCCT